GGATATCGCATACAACTACAGGCCACGCCGCCGCCGCTGACAGTCATCCCTCCGAGGTGATTTCCAGGCTCCACAACTACCAAAGTTAAGAGAAGCGGTATCAACGCTCCTAACCAAGCAGGCCATAGAAGTACTGGACCAAGTAAACATCGAACCAGGCTTCTACTCCCAAGTTTTCCTAGTGCCCAAGAAAAATTCCAAAGAAAAGTTTTGTCTCATCTACAATATGAGCACGTTCAAACAGAGACTATCTGCGCAAACCGCCAGCGTTTCGCATGATACACTTACCACAACTACGGCACTTAATTCGTCCCAGAGACTACATGGCCAGCATAGATCTGCAGGACGCATATCTACACATCCCAATACATCCCGACTCCAGGAAATACCTTCGGTTTACACTAGACGGGCTGCATTACCAATGGAAAGTACTACCTTTCGGAATCTCATTGGCCCCCTGGTTATTCAGAAGAGTGACGAAACCTATCGTCTCTTACCTACATCGTCAAGGACTACGCAGTGCATTCTACCTCGACGACGGGATACAAGTGGATCCAGATCCACAGCGTCTCAGACTAAAGTTAAACTTCATCAAGCTACTAACACAGCTAGGATAGTTAGTAAATCTACTCAAGTCGGACCTAGAACCTATGCAAGATCTGCAATTTCTAGGCATTCGATTTCTCACGGCGCAGAATCGTATCGTCGTGCGGGACCGATGGATCAAGATCCAACAGATAATCCCTCAAGCCTTACTCTCTCCGCTACCACTACGACAATGGCAGAGCCTGTTGGGTCTACTCACGTCAGCTCAAGACATGACAGTCAGAGGCAGACTACAGTTACGTCCGTTACAGGTCCTCATCAACTCTCATCTCGACGACCCTCAACCATTCAGTCTACCGAATCACGTCAAACCTCACCTACTATGGTGGACCAAGAGATCGAATGTTTGCGATGGAATCTGTTTAATAGAGCCGAATTGAAAACACATCTCTATGTAGACGCTGTCAGCTCCAAGGTTGGGGAGCACACCTCGCCAACAGGACGGCATCAGGGTTATGGAGCCAACAAGAGAGCAAACTACACATAAACTTGCTAGAAATGCAAGCAGTAGTAAACGCCATACATCATTGGAGCAACTTACTAAAGAATGCCAAATTGATGATTCACACAGACAATTCAACAGTGGCGTTTTATGTGAACAAACAAGGCTCAACCAGGTCCCCGAACCTATTGACTCTATGTTTTCAATTGTTCGATCTAATAGACAATCTCAACATACATGTCAGAGCATGTCACATTCCAGGAGCAAAGAATGTAATAGCAGACGCTCTCTCTCGGCCACACCTACCATCGCCGACAGAATGGATGCTCCATACAGAGATATTCGCACAAATTATCAAGAAAATAGGAGCTCCAATAATAGACCTATTTGCCACTCGCTTCAACAATCAGCTGACAACATTCCTATCACCAGTCCCAGACCCACTAGCATGGGCAACGGACGCACTAAGCATATCGTGGGAAGGACTCAACGCGTGACGCTGCGTTCCGCCACCAGCGTTAATCCCACAGGTGTTACAGAAAATAGAGGCAAACTTCGAGCCTCCAAATGATTTTGGTCACTCCCTACTGGCCAGCGAGAACGTGGTTTCCAACTCTTATTCAAGAAATCGGACAACCAATACTACAACTTCCAAAGCGCTCGAATCCACTAATACATCCTCACACCAAACAAGCGCACGGAAAGCCAGAAGCATTCCAACTTCACGTATGGACTGTATTAAGGCGTCTAAACAAGAGAGGTTATTCAGCCAGAGCGGTGAAAGCAGTCACGCTTGCCTTACGTAACTCCACTCGCAACTTGTACGATGACAAGTGGCACAGTTTTGAAAATTATGCTGCAAAGAAAGGATTTACAGCTAGAAATGCTACACATCCACAAGTGGCTGACTACTTATGTAACCTACGTCAGACTAAACATCTAAAAGGCTCAACATTATCAACATATCTCGCAGCTTTAAGCTCTGTCATAACTATGAGAACGGGTGTCAAGCTGACGAAAACCCCAGAGTTACTCGCCTTTCTACGTGCATTCCGATTGGAGGATCAGAAACAGAGATTTCGCGCTCCAGCATGGGATCTAAATATAGTGCTCCAACACCTCACAAGTGAGGCCTATGAACCACTGGTATCAACATCATTCGAATTTCTGACACAGAAAACTTTGTTCCTGTTATCCCTAGCAACAGCAGCCAGGATGTCAGAGATTCACGCACTAGATTACGAGAGAACACGCTTTGATGACAATCATAACATCGTGCATATGGGACTACGCTGGGATTTCATCGCCAAGAACCAGTTGCCAGGTCAACCAGACAGATTATTCCACGTCCCAGCTCTCTCATCAATTCTCCAACCTCATGATACACTGGATCTATCATTATGCCCAGTCAGAGCACTGAAAATATATCTACGACGTTCCAATCCGAGGCGACATAAACACAAACGATTATTCATCCCTCTATCGACAGCTACACAGACTGAAGTCTCACGTACAACTATCTCGATATGGATCAGGACTGTCATACTACGTGCCTACAAGGCTGCAGGACTCGACCCTCCAAGAGCATCTAATCCACATGAAATTAGAGCACTAGCTTCAACACTTGCTCTACACGGCAATTGCTCTTTGAATACCATCATGGAGGGCTGTTTCTGGAGATCTGATATGGTGTTTGCCAACCACTATCTGAGAGATATCACCACCGAGGACGTCTCAGGCATTCACCATTTCGGTCCCATGGTCCTCGCTCAGCAGTTGACAGTCCCTCGGAGAAGATAAGTCAATCTTACGAGATTTTTACTGCTTATTTCACAACAGTACTATATAGCTAATAACTCCATGAAGTTTATGCTATTATATATTTTAGCTTAAGTTCAATCACAATCTTAAGCTCAGTACTATGTTTATTATATCATAATAATATCATTAGCTAACAACTCTATGAAGTTTATGCTATTATATTATCAAGCTTAAGTCTATCTTAGTCTTAAGCATAGTATTCATGTTGTAAATACTTTATTTATGTTTATCATAATATATATATATTGTAGTAACCCATATATGGCAGCTGATAAGTTTAACAGCAGGAATTTATCAATTCAGTGCCTTTATGAAGTTCCCATAGGGGTTGTTAGAGTTATTACAGTTATCAAATCACTAATTATCTAAATCCAAAGTATTCTGTATTCCCACCTCCGTATCCGTAGGATTCTACAAGCAAAAGAGCATGAGTCAGGATAAGGAAAAATATGTAATTTTCTGAATAAAATTGATATTTTATACTTATCCTGACTCATGAGGTAAGCCCTCCCATCCTCCCCACATAACACTTTGGATTTCCCTGAAAATTCAAGTGTTGGGCTCGCTATATAAGGAGAGAGTGAGGCATGTGGCGGGAAGTGGCGCCCTCGTTCCCGCGCAAAGGAGTGGGATGGAGATAACTCTTGGTGAGTACTAATTAGTGATTTTACATTGAAGGGAGCTACAATTGGGAGATACAAGTGTTCCACTGTGTTCGCAAGAAAAAGAAAACAAGCAAAAGAGCATGAGTCAGGATAAGTATAAAATATCAATTTTATTCGGAAAATTACATATTTTTTGGTTTCAAACGAAACCGGTTTCATGAAGAGGTTGCGGAAGAGTTTTGTACTGTAGTATAATATTTGCATGACGTCACACTGTAATGACATCACTGCCTTGGTAACCGACGTCACGATGCATGTCAGTTGTCATCACCTTGTACAGTCTCCTACAGGAAAATTACTCCATAGCACTCCGTTTCTTGGTTTGCAGTTGCTTCATTCGGCTAACATCACTGGTGGAAACATTGCGTTTGTTTTTCGACGGATATAATGTCTCAGTTGGACTCACAATTAAACAGCGACACGGCAACGTTCACAATGTTTACATTCCCACAATGCATTTAAGTTGTAGAATGAATGAATTCACGTGTTTGTTATGAATGAAAAAATAGTTACGTCAGAATGTGACCTAATTAAGAGGTCATCGGTTATCCACTCAAATCGTTAGAATCTCAGGTCAAGTCATTACGACACAGGTCAACACGATACGACACTTGTGTGACATACAAGATTAGTATGCAACTACCCATACGTTGACCACGTGGGTAATAAAGTCAGTTATCCAAGCATGTGTGAGGTACATTAGATATTGATTTTAACAACATTCCAAGGTTACAATTAAATGTTTGTGTCTCATCACATAAACACATTGGTGCCTGGCTCCATACTTGCAACAGGTATCATTTTGAGCCAAAACAGATGATTTGCATATTGTGCCATTATTAAAATGTTGAAGGAAAATGTCCCTTTTTGTGTTTTCTTGTAGTCAAGATATGATCACACAGAAAAACATGCAGCTTTACCAATGTACTGTGCATTCACACCACTGATGTTAGCTGAAACATACAACTTTGTAAAAATTACTGGGGTGCTTAACTTTTTTTTAGGTGTTATTGAAAAGACTTCATCATAGTAGCAGTTCATTGAATAAGTGGATGATGTATCTGTTTTATGAACATTAAGTTCTATATGTTTTGTTTTTTTAATGAACATTTATTTCTGCATTCCCTGTCACACATATATAATGACAAGACATTTAAACCACTGAACATGGAAGTAGATACAGATAAACTGATACAGATAAATTAAAAAAGAAGTTTAATCCATAAAAATATCTTGGACATCAATGTACAACTTCTAAATGCCACTGAAAGACTTCTATATGTTTGTTCATAATAAACAGTTTATCTGTATCTACTTCCATGTTCAGTGGTTTAAATGTCTTGTCATTATATATGTGTGACAGGGAATGCAGAAATAAATGTTCATTAAAAAAACAAAAACATGCTGAGTAGATATATCTTCTGTAGAGACATTCAGGTCAGATTTTCCACTTTCTCTTTTGGTAGAATAATGATCACAGCAGCCAGCCAAGGGAATCAACCACAGACATTGATGATATTCGAGCAGAACTTGAAGCTAAATATCGTATGGAACTAAACAAGAAGCTTGAAGAGGTGAATCGTTACCTGGAACAGCAAGCTCAGGCTCAAAATCAACTGGATATATCTCATGGGGAGAATGAGTCTCGGTTGGCCATGGATAAAAAACATCTTGAGGTATGTTTCATCTTAAAATCAGATTTGAAGAAATCTAAATAGAAGGAGTGTAGAAGTGAGAAGTCAGTTCTGACCAATTATATAAAATGTATTATTTACAACATGTATTTATTTCAGTCTGAATCAGAGACCAAAATAGAATAGGAACCTTCTGACTGACTGAACAGCACCTGAAACCAACAAACAACTAAACAATGAATTATAATTAACAATTGAAACAAAAATTTAACTAAGTTTACAAAATAATACAAATCACAACAGAGGTATTACAGTGACAGTAGAAATAAACATTATGATACAAAAGCAGTGATTATAGCAATAGAGACAGAGATGATAAAATTCACCTCACTGCAACAATGGTCAAGAGTTTGCTCCCTTATATGCCTAAAAAAACCTAGATCTTTGCAATGTTCTATTTCATCGGAGGAGGGTTATACATTTCAGAATATAGAGTACACCACTGCCCTCTGCTGAATGTCAAAATGGTACAATGGATTACACTTTGAACATTGTATCACAATAAATAATACTGCCATGTAACACAATGACAATTATTTATCCATTTCCATTGAAAATGTAATGCAATTTTATGTATAGATTACTATACAGTCAGTTAGATGCCATTTATCCTATGAGTTGTTGCAAAAGGTATCTAAAAAGCAAAGTTGAGTTTAGTTCATTGAGATATATGTCCTATCTGACAGGGGATGATAATGAAATGTAGATAATGTCATGTATTGTATTGAAGCGCTCATAAAATATGACGCCTCTAATATGAGTGTTGATGTAAGCGGCATGTGCAGCTTGTCGTGTCACTTAAGAGCTAATAAAAACAATTTCCGGTCTACCCTCCATGCTTGTCAGTTGTACATATATTACATGGTGTCAGAAATCAGATTCCACAGCCGACATCCGTCACAAATATGTGATATAAGCCACAGAAAGACATTGATTAGGACTAATTTAAAACGGTCGAAAATTTTTAAGGCAAAAACGGTGAGATGGCTAATTTAGTTTGATCAGTACCCTCGATGAATTGGGATAGTGGTGACTTACCTGGCGCCATGGAAGAGTTTTTGTTCTCACATGGATTTCATGTTCGGCGGTCCACTGAAAGGTAAAACAGAAGCTGAAAAGTGTAATTTCTTAATGCTCTGGGTGGGAGAATGAGGTAGGAACGTCTACGAAACATGGGCTTTGAATGAAGATGACAAAATGAAGATGGAAGTACACTACACAAAGTTTGAAAACTATGTAAAGCCAAAATCAAATTGGGTATTCTCAAGATACAAATTCCAGTGCAAAACTAAGAATCAGTCAGAAAAATTTGTGCAGTTTGTCACTGTTCATACAAGATCCAATTCACCTAAAGTGTGTGAAAAGTTAATTAATGAAGGTTCTGAACTTACACTGGAGAAGGCAATAGAAATTGCAAGTACACATGAACTTTCTCAAGAACAACCGAAAATGATGAACGGTGAAGATGCAAACGTTAATGTCCTTCGTCAATATCAGAACAGAAAAGACAACACAAGGCAGACAGCATCCAGTACAGCTGCAGATAAACAACCTCAAAGGAGGAATGTGTGTGGTAAATGTGGATATGAACATCATAGCTTAGTAGCAGCTTTGAAAGGACAATTCCGTCAGGGTAATAATGTAACACCAGAGAGCAGCATAGTTAAGGAACTCTACGGGGCTATACTCAGAGAACAGTTTCCATTGAAAACTATTGAGGAAGTGATCTCAAACATGCCATATGCTAGAGTATTCACTAAGCTGGACGCAACATCTGGGTTTTGGCATGTCAAGTTAAGTGATGATAGCTCAAAACTGTGTACATTTAATAAGCCCTTCTGGAGGTATCAGTTTACAAGGCTGCCATTTTGAATAAAAAGTGCACCTGAAGTGTTCCAGAAAGTTATGTTGGAGATGGTTCAAGACATCAACAATGCTGAAGTCATCATAGACGACATTCTAATATGGGGACGTACCCAAGAGGAGCATGATGAAGTCCTGAAGTGTGTTCTTGATCGTGCTGAAACATACAGGGTGAAATTGAGTGCAACTAAATGTGCGTTCCGAAAATCAGAAGTCACATATGTAGGTGAGGTGAGGTGAAATTGGGTTTAACGTCGTGCTTGAGAATATTTCGCTCATATGACGACGTGCATGCGTGTGTATGTGTATGTGCGGCTGCTTGTACTAGCCCAGACTGAAGCTGGTTTTATAGTACTAGCCCACTGAGATACCATGCCGCAGTGAAGAATGAGTACCCTACTCAGACACATTATACTGAGTCCGAGCCGACCAGTCCTTGTTGTACCCATTAATGCCGAGCGCCAGGCAGGGACCAACAAGTACCATATTTTTACGTCTTTAGGTATGACGCGGGCCGCGACCTTCCGCTCTCCAGGCAGACGCTCTAACCACTGCACCACGGAGGTGGTCATTTCCTCTGAGAAGTAGTTTGTTTAAATAGAAATAATGGAGGGGTTGGCAATTTTTATGCCCCCGCCATATATGGCAGGGGCATATAGGGTTACCCTCAGTGTCCGTCGGTCCGTCCGTACTTTCGAAACAGGGAATGTATTCTATCCACTTCTCCACCATAACCGCTCTGTGGAATTAAATGAACTTATACATGGGCTTTCTTGGGACTCTAATGGTGTGCATCTCTTATTTTTTATTTTTTTATTTTATTGGTTTATTTTGTAAGTTTAGAGACATTTGAACTTAGGTACATTTTGCTGAATTTCTCTATGATGATAGTGTAATAGGGGATGAAGTCTATCCACTTCTCCACAAAAACTGCTCAACAGAATTGAATAAACTTCTACATGTCTTTTGTAGGGACTCTAAAGGTGTGCATTTCATAATTTTTTTATGAAATTTCTTAATTTTGTCACTTTTACAGATGTTTGAACTTAGTTGAATTTGGTTCTATTCAGCCAGTGTTCGTTCCATCCAACAGGGGGTGTACGTTATCCACTTCTTCTCAAAAACTACTTTATGGAATTCATTTAGATTACACATTTGCTTTATAGGGACTCTAAAGGTGTGCATCTCATATTTTGATTTTGTATTTTATTTATTTTTCAAATTTTAATGCCGTTTGAACTGAATATAGTGTTATAGGGGATGAAGTCTATCCACTTCTCCACAAAAGCTGCTCAACAGAATTGATTGAGCTTCTACGTGTGTTTCATTGGAACTCTAAAGGTGTGCATCTCATACCTTGTTCATCCAATTTCTTAATTTTGTCACTTCTACAGATGTTTGAATTTAGTTCTATTCATCCTGTTCGTCCCATACAACAGGGGGTGTACTTTATCCACTTCTCCTCAAAAACCACGGCACAAAACTCATTTAGCTTATATGTCTTTTATAGAGACTCTAAAGGTGTGCATCTCATATTTTGTTTTTGTATTTTATAAAAAAAAATTATGTTTAGAGACATTTGAACTTAGATAAATTTTGTTGAATTTCTCTCTGATGATAGTGAAATAGGGGATTAGGTCTATCCACTTCTCCACAAAAACTGCTCAACAGAATTGATTAAGCTTATATGTGTGTTTCATTGGGACTCGAAAGGTGTGCATCTCATAGTTGCATAGATGTTTATTGAACTTGTTCGTGAATTTTGTTCAATTATTGATCTTTATATGATAATAGGTTGTGTTATCTAACCCCTCAACACATTGTTTTTAGTGTTTTGAAGTACTTCAGTGGGACCCTGAATGTGTGAACTCTTCCTACAGCAGCGGGGGCATCCGTGTCCCTGGACACAATTTTTTCTTGTTTAATATGAAGGACATTAATTTTGTTTTTATTTTAGACTCATGAACAACAAATTTAGTTGTTTTTCCTAAACAGGGTAAATACAGGAAATAACCAAATGTACATTTAGACATTCCATTCTATCCCTAACTATCATGAATCATATTCTCAATGACCGGGATGGATAACCTTTAGGTGGCTGGGATAATGCATCTTGTTGGGTGGTGTCGCAAGTTCTTCATTTTTGCCTTGGCTCTGGAGCATCAGACACCACTGGCGATGTCAATTCCGGGGTTATGACTGCAGCCATCTTCTGTGTTCTTTTCTCAGTCTAGTTAATAGTAGCTAGATTTTTCAGGTGCTGTTTCTGGGGGGAAAAAATGAAATTCCTGCACTCTGAAAGTTATTTATTCTTGAGAGCGGCACTTGGTCTAATTAGATAATGGCACATTACGGTGATGGGTAATGACATGAGATAAGGAAAGTTATTCTATTACAGTTATATTGCGATGTGATAATATGTAGCACATCATGTCAGTTAAATGACTGTTTCAAACTCTGGTGTCAGGAAGTGTATAAACCGGTACAAATGATATTATATAATCCAGTTTCAGGAACTTACAGATCGGATTCTTTTGTTTCTTTTAGCATCTTCCCTGTGTTTTTCTTTCTTTCCTGTAATCTGCCGATGTCAATCGCCCCTCTTGCTCCTCCAGATTATCCAAAAGGCTTCTATTAAGAAAAGCAAATGAGTTCATTTTGATTCTTCCAAAGATACATTATTACAATCCGACAACCGTTATTTTGATTATTATCATATTCATCATGTATCAAACCAAGTAATAAGTAATTGTGGTATATGCATTACTGAGAGGGTATGAGGAATTTTTTATTAACATGATCGACATGATTAAGTAGAAATTATGCACTACAGAAAGCTTTGGTATGCTACTAGATCTACTAGATATTGCCAACTGACAGAATGAAATTATTAGATGCTATATTTACCCAATTGTGAACAAGAAACGAGTTGATGACAATTTTAATTTTAGTTTGCATTTATGTGTAAAATGTCGGAGGCAATGACATCCCTAATCTTATAAAACCAACATATATATATTGATTATGATGTCGAACAATAATGAAACTTGGAGAAAGTTATTTTACCTTAAATAAGTCACTTTTAATGGATTTTCAAGGGACTCCACGAACTGTTCAAT